GAATGAGGAGATGGGAGATGAGACAGGAAAGATCAGCTTGGGTCAGGATGGGAAGGGCCTAGAGCGGGGCTAAAGGGCTTGGGCTCCATCTGCGGGCTCCTTGTCCTGTGGCGTGGCAGTTAGGACTGTGGACTGTGATCCGTGTGGACCTGGACGCAAATTCCAGTTCTGTTACTTGGTTTGGTGGCCTTGAGCAAGTCATTTAACCTTCTGCCTTAGCTTGAGTTCACCCAAAAGCAGACTCTGGGACTTGGGGGCTGGCAGTCTGCTTGGGAGGTGATTTCAAGAAGCAGAAGTGAGGGCATGGGGAAAGCATTAATGTGCGAGTTCCTGCCTTGAGCAACTGGGTTTAGTTCCCCTGGGGACTCTTTGAGAGACGGTATGAAATGCACTTCAAAATCAACCTATCTGAGGATGGGGAGGCATCAAGTCTCTTGATGGAAGAAGGTTGCCCTTGGGGTGGGTAACACCCTCCCCCTCCTTCCTGGTTCATAGATGCCTAAGAAAGCCCTTGGGCAAGGAAGCAGAAAGAAGCAAGACCTTGAGTGGAGGGGCTCTCAGCTTGCTGGAAACCATCACACTGGCAAGGGAGCTCGTAGAAGGGATTGGCGATGTGAGGCAGGTAGCAACGCCATCTACTATTACATCTCGAAGACTGCTTGCTTGTCTGAAAAATAAAAAGACTATGACATACTTTCCAGGAGGACTAAATGAAGAATTTGCAAGTGCCTAACGACATGTCTGACACATAGTAGATAATCAAGAAATGGTGGGTATGGTTGGGCTCATGCCAGCTCCTCAGAGAAGACTTCCCTGACCATCCTATTGAGAGAAGCTCACTCCTTTTATTCTCTGCCAAAGCATCCTGTCTATTTCCTCCAGAGCATTTAACATAGTATGGAATCTTCTCGGTTATATGTTTGCTTATCATCTGTCTCCCCTGACTAGAACGAAAGCACCATGTGGACAGGGAATTAATCTCTCTATTCACTGCTTGAGCTCCAGCACTGAGCACAGTGCCTGGGACACACTAGGTGCTCAATAAATATTTTTTGAAGGGAAGAATTATTATGGTAACAATAAGAGAAGGACAGTTCCTGTTCCTGACCTTTATTAAGCAGATATTCTGCCTGTTAACAGGATGTTAAAAGAGGATTCATCCAGACTCCTGCTGGGTCCCAATGCTGAAAACAATAGGTGCAGCTATATTCAAATCAGGACCCAAGTCAATTCCTCCATCACTAGCCCATTGCCTACTAACTTCCAGGCTGTGATACAAGAAAGAGCTAAGAGTATTCTAGCAGGTTTCCACTAAAGGGCAAGGGTATTTGGGGAGAGCTTGTTTGAAGACCAGTGATTTGAAAAGAATAAAGCCATCACATAATTTTGCTCCTTCCCAGAGTCAGAGTTATAGAGAGAGAAGCTAATGAAGTCTAAACTTCAGAGTCCCTTCTGAGGCCCTGGGACTGTGTTTACGCAGTCATTTGTTTTGCGAAACCTGAAAAAGTAAGTTATTTTAAAATTCTTTTTCTTAAAGAAGGTCCCTCCAAATTGTATAAGCTTCAAGCCCCAAAATACCTGGATCCTATCAAAACACCTCTGCCCGCTATCAAATCCAAGCAGTTTAAGTAACCAGTGATCCACGGGTTAGCTCCTTTAATCCTTGTATCAACTCTATAATGTAGATACTATTGTTATTCCCATTTACAGATGAGGAAACCGAGGCTTGGGGAACAGTCGTTGCCCAAGGTCTCACAATTAGGAAGTAGTAGATCTGGGGTTTAAAGTCTGTAGCCTGTCTCCAGAGCCCAGACCCTTAACTATAGTGCTTTTCAATGGTATATATTTGTTTTCTTGTCTACTTTTCCCACCAACCATGAGGTCCCCAAGGACACGAAGACAAGGCATTTCCATACACCCAGCACCTAGCCCAGAAGAGACATCAACACATATTGGTATGTAAGAAAAAGAAAAGCAGGCCCTGACCTCCAGGAGCTGGCCTGGCACTCACAGCTGGGCCTTGGTGTTTCCGGCTGAACATAATTTCACAGAACATCAACATCAGACAAGGCCACTCTGTGACTATGATGGATCAAGACACAAACAGGACCACTCCATAATCATGTCTGAACACAGACAAAACATGAACATGGTCCAAACCACAAAAAGGACCACGCATCCCCCTATCCTGGCTAATACTGACTATTGCTTCTTACTAATGACACCTTTAACTTTTGTCTGGTCTTCCCTCCTTCTGGATAAAATTTATTAAGATCCCCAGTCACAGAATTACCCCGACTTCTTACAGCATCTACAGAGCAAAGCCCTGCCTCCGTAAGCCCTCCCTGAAATCATCTAACAAAAGCCCAAATTCTATAAGTTCCTTCTGACACCCTCTGTCTGAGATGCCCCCAAATTTCCCCATCGTGTGCATTCTCTCTCACTGCAACGAGTATCCAAATTCTTCAATTACAGGTGTGTTTCTGGTGGTCTTTGACTGGAACAGCATTGATACAGGAATCATCCATTGATGGATCATTGAGCATAAAATATCATTGTCAAAATTTACAAAATGTTACTCCTCCAAAACTGGTTGATGATGATAGAAAGAAAAATAGTGGTTCCCTCTGAGGGATTGGGATGAGTGGTTATAAACTGAGAAGAGACACAAGGCAACCTTTTTGGGTGTAAGAAGTATTCTACATTTTGAACCAGTTGATGGTTACACCAAATATTAAAAAAAAAAAAAAAGAAGGTTAATCTGTTTACTTAACATTAGTGTACGTTACATACTTTATTGTATACATATTATACTTTGATTAAAAAAAGTGTTGTCCACCAACTTCAGCAGGTAGCGGGGAGAACAGGAAATCCAAAACTGGTCACTCAAATACCAACTTAAAGTAACTTAGCAACAAGATAAAGGCCAGAGTGGGATGGTAGCCAACTGGAAGGGAACCTTGGGCCGTTGGAAAAGATCTATGATGAAAAGGCTGGAAATTCAACTGCTTGCTGAAAACTTAAAACATTTGGGTTGTTTATCCCAGGAAAGACTAGATTGGAAGGAAATGCAATTGAACGCAAGTATTTTATTTTACAATAGGAAAGAGTTTGGGCCCAAGGGCAGATCTTCCTAACAGTGACAAAGGAGGTAAAGGAGGCTGTGACGTCCCTGTCCCTGGGAAACTTAAAACTCCATTGGCCAGCATATGTCCCCACTGTAGCCTGGTCTGGGAGTAGGAGACAGAGAAACCACCGCCAGTTGCCCCTTTCATGACTAGGGACTCTGGTTAGTCATAGTGCTCTGGGCCAGCTGCAGAGCACCGATCAACTAGCCAAAGGGAGCCACTCTCTGATCTGCCCTGAGCTTTTTATGTTCTGCCGCCACTGCCACCAACTGCAGCTTTAATTAAATCCAGAGCTTAATTACCACAGTGTGGTGCTGCCATCACTCTCTCCTGATGATTTATCTTGGCTCCTGGAAGGATGGTGGTGGTGACAGTGTGTAAGGAGGAGAGGTAAGCCTAAAGAAGTCTAAAGCCCGGACTCTGGACGCTGGTGATTTGAGGGTATGTGGGGTGGGTGGGTGGAGGGATCAGCTGTAGGACTCAGCACCTGACCTCAAAGAGCTCACAGTTTATTGGAGGGTTAAGACCTCCCACCTAGGAGATGGCACAAGGTGGTGTAAGCCCTGAAATGAGAAGTGTACACAAATACTGATAGGGGCAGAGGTCCCTTGGGACTGGAGGGATCAAGGAAGCTGCACAGAGAGGGAGGGCCTAGAGGAATTTTAAATGAAGAACAGGATTAGACAGGCCACCAGGCAGGGCAGAGCACCTAGTGGAGGGAAGAGCATGAGTAAAAGTGTGGAGGTAACAGTGAGAACTTGTTACATCTGGAGAATGGTGAGGAGGTAAACTGGGGGCAGTGCAGAAGAGCGGAGATCTCTGTCGGAGAACAGCATAAGCAACACTTCTGAGGAAGTAGGTGGGCAGCCACGTTGGGGAGAACCTTGAATGCCAAACCTAGCTGGGACTTCATTCAGTAGGTAGTAGGAAGCCGCTGAAAGTTTCTGAGCTGCCTGAATGATCCAAATTTGTTATGGAAGTTTACAAGATTCTTGAGGATGAGGCCCTGCCTACCTCCTCAGGTGTCTTCTCTGTCCATTCCATCTCTCACACGCTGTGCTCCACCCAGAGTGTAAAACATTCTTCACATTCCCTGTACTCCTGGCTAAGTCTTATTCCTTCAGTTCTCAATTTTAACAATTCTCTAAGATCTCTAAGATGCTTTGATGACACCATCCCATGTCCCCGAAGCCTGGGCAGATGCCCCCTTTCTAGGCTCCCACAACCTCCTGCGTTTCCCCTATTAGAGCACATATCACCGAGTTGTAATTATTCATTTGTCGGAATCCTTCGCTAGATTGTGAATTCTTTTGAGGCTAGGGACAGTATGTTGTTCACCACTGTGTCCTAAGAACCAGCATAGGGATGGAGGAGGGATGGAGGGGCTTGGGGAGGATCAGTGACTGCTCAGGCTCCTCCCTGTTCTCAGCCAGTGAGTCTCTGGAGAAGGACAATGGAAAATTGCAAGTGTCAACAGGTACAGGTTGGTAGGCAGTGTGCCCTTATTGTAAATTATCAGTCTCATATTAAATTATCACTCTCTAATTATGAGTACTGATAACGGAAGCAAAGTACTGGTGGAACAGTGGAACAGTGGAACACAAAACAGCCTCCATCCTCCTCTTCACCTCCCTAAGGATAAAGCAGGGTGTGGCCATTTCTAGGCACGCCTGGGAACTATTTGAGGGAGGGTGAGGCGGAGGGTTATCAACCGGGACTACAAGAAGTAACCCTCCGCTCGAGCCCTGTAATCGTGGCAGCGGCTCCTCGACCACCAGGGGGAGGAATCGCACCGCATCCTGGGCCTTGGGCGGTTTCACCCAACGACGAGGGCCGCCTAGAACTCTGGAAATTGTAGTCCCAAGGTCGTAATACGCAACTTACGCGGTGAACCTCGGCAGCGATAGTTCCGGACAGAGAGGCGGGAAATACTTTCAAGCGCCAACGTTGACTTCTGGAAACTACAACTACCAAAAGGCTACGGGCTCCTGGGCAATTTCTCGTTTCCGTCGAGCTGTCCGTCTGGGCTGCTTCTGAGAGGTCAACTTGACTGGGTAAGTTTGATTGGAGAACGCTCCGATTCTGAACTGAGGTGTCTGCAGACTCTTTCCTATTCCCGCCTGTTTGGGGGCTTCTCAATCCCAGGAACTCCACATTAATCTTTCGTCTACTCCGTTTCCTATTCAGATGCCTGCAGTATCCACTCGCACCCTTAACGTTCCCACTATCACCTCGTGCCTTCACTCGTGCCGCCCCTGGAATCCCACCCCGAGCTCTCGCTTTAGGACCCAGCCCCCACAGCCCCACCCTGAGTCCACAGCCCCACTTTAGACCCTTATAGCCCCACGCTGAGCCTACAGAATCACCTCTCTGAAACCTGGGCTTCTTTATGGCCCGCACCTTCTCTATGCTTCACTCTTACCCTCACTTTCCTGTTTTTCGTGCTGGTACAGAAGGGTTACCATGCCTTCTTCCCAATGCGCGGAAGAGCCCGGGTCCTAGTCTAGCTCTGCAGCTCTCTGGCTATATGACCTTGGGCGAATCATACAACCTCTCTGGTACTCACTCTCTTCATCTACATAATAGAGACGGCACTTGCTCTATCCATCTTAGGGTGAGGCTGTGTTGTGGAGCCGATAAGCTAATATGTGTGAAAGTGCTTTATAAACTGTAAAGCCTCCGCAAGCGAGAGAGAGAGTTTTTATTATAGTTATTAATGCTCTGGCACACTCTTATCTTGGCTGCTTTTCTAGCTCTGTCCCCTTGTTGCTCAAGCCTACCCCTTGGGCGCTTGGTGTCTCCGTTCTCCCAGAGCAGGATGGTGTTTCCTCACTTCCTCCAGAGACCCAAGGTCAGACTAATGAGCTTTAAGTCCCCGGAGAGCTTTGTCTGAAAGGAAGCCCCAGAGAAGTGCTTATCTTGGACTCGGTCCTGAAATAGCCGGTGATGAAAAGTCCACACAGCTGGCAGAGGGGCGGTGCCTGCTTACTGGAAACAGGGCCCCAGCAGGAGATGGACAGCTGCAGTGTAAGCCCTCTCTGTTCCCTCTCGGCTCTTTTGGGCCTGTTTAGTAGACTCTGGTTTTGGTAAGGGTGTCTCAGACCTGAAAAGGCTGAGAGGAAAGAATCCATTTTGCCATTTTGGTTTAATCCAGAAAGAAATGAGAGACCTTGGCTGGGTGTGATGAAAGAGACATAGCATTGTTAACTCATTGCAAACATTTTACGAGTACTTAAAATGTACCAGGCTCTAGGCAAAATCAATTTTCTTGTTTAAATTTCATTTATGAAATGTCCCCATTTTACGTATAAGGAACTTAGGCTCAGAGAGGTCATGTAGTTAGTTATGCAGTAGTCCCTCCTTATGTGCGGTTTTGCTTTCTTCGGTTTCAGTTACCCACGGTCAACCACAGTCCAAAAATATTAAGTGGAAAATTCCAGAAATAAACAATTCCTAAGTTTTAAATTGCATGCTGTTCTGAGTAGCGTGATGAAACCTTGCATGTTCCTGCTCTGTCCTGCCTGGGACGTGAATCATCCCTTTGTCCAGCGTATCCACGCTGTATTTGCTACCCACTCATTAGTCACTTAGTAGCTGTCTGGGTTATCAGATCAGCTGTTGCCATATTGCAGTGCTTGTGTTTAAGTAACCCTTATTTTTGCTTAATAATGGCCCCAAAGTGCAGAAGTAGTGATGCTGGCAATTCGGATATGCCAAAGAGAAGCCGTAAAGTGCTTCCTTTATGTGAAAGTTCTCGACTTAATAAGGAAAGAAAAATTGTATGCTGAGGTTGCTAAGATGTTTGGTAACTTTTATTATAATATATTGTTATAATTGTTCTATTTTAGTTATTGTTGTTAATCTCTTACTGTGCCTAATTTATAAATTAAACTTTATCGTAGGTATATATGAATAGGAAAAAACATAGTATATCTGTATAGGGTTCAGTACTATCTGTGGTTTCAGGCATCCACTGAGGGTCTTGGAACTTATCCCCTGTGGATAAGGGGGGACTATTGTAATAATAGTTATAATTGGATCTACCGTCTATGGTTATAGTGCCTTCTATATGTCAGCTTTACATACATTATTTCATTTAATCCTTTATTTCACCAGCAACTTCATGAGTGAGTGTTATTATTTCTATCTATAATTTATGGATAAATTATGAGAGGCTTAGAATTTAAGGAACTTGCTCAAGATCCCACAGCCAATTAAGTGGCAGAGGTGAAATTCAGACTGTGACCAAAGTCTTTCTTTTCCCACTATATCTTATTTTTAGATCAAAAAGGCAGAGATTAAAGAATTGAGAGGATTTAAATCAAAGCCAAATAAAGGAGCATTTATCGGGTCCCTTCTATGTGGGTAAAGCATGAGGAGAGATGGTTTGGTCTACAAAGAAATATAAAAGTCTTTACCTCTGTAGTATATCTGAAGAGATAAGGCATAAGTGTGTAAAAAATTAAATAGCATTCATTGAATAAGTTGATTGTGGAGACCAGTTATATGCAGGGCACTACGTTAAGCCTAGTGACTGGCAGGAACATGCTTCTGGGTGGCCATGGGGATTAAACCAATGAAATCATGGTCATTATCATTTCATTAATATGAAAGTGGTGGACTGGAACACCATATACACTCAGTACATGTTTGTTGCATGCACGCGTATCTGAATAAAAGTCTTGTGTAGCATCGGGACCAGAGGGTCTCAAACCTTGCTGATCAGAAACACCTGGGAAGCTTTTAAAAACCAACTGACCTCTGGGAATGGGGGCCCTAAAATCTATATTTTTGAAAAGCTTTTTAGGTGATTGTGATGATAGGTTCAGGAACCTCTGATCTAGATTCTACTTGGACCACTTATAGGCAAGCCACTGATTGAAAACTGCTAGAATAGGTACCAATCCGAGAGCTGTCCTAAGGCAGCCTGTGAATGGGTACCGGATGGGGGATGTGGACAGTGGTTAGAGAGGAAGGAAGGTTGGAAGGACTTGGGAAAGCTTCACAGAGCACCAGAGATTTCCCTGGGCCTTGATGAATGGGGCAGGTTTGAATGGGTGGAAAGGCTTTTGGACAGGTACCACCACCACAATTGGCACCACCAATTGTTAAGATAAGGCAAGTAAAAGAAGGTAGAGACACCTGGGCTGATTTTCTTGGAAAATTCCATGGCATTTATTAGAAATGACTCTGGATGCTCTGTGTGGATGTTTCTTAGGCAAAATTTGCAAGTCAGATTGGATTTTCCCATCTCCCCATTCTACTTGGGCATCAGTGGATGCGAGCCCAGGGAATGCAGATTCAGTTTCATGTTAGCCTCATTCTGGCCAATTCTCTTCTTTAGTTTTTATTTATTTCCAAACTTAATTTAGTTGATGACCTTCCCAGAAACTTTCCAGGACTACCAGAGTTCTACTCCCCTTCTGTTTGGCTATTTTCAAGTCCACTCATCGTGATACCTGTCCCAAGCACTGTTCTCTATGCAAGGTAAGACCAAAATCTCTTCCCGTAAGAAGCTACTATTGTTCTGGTCACCCATTTCTGAAACCTGGCTCATCTTTGGCTCTTCCCTCTGCCTGGACTCCCCAAATCCACTCAGTTGCCAAATCCTATTGTTTCTACTTTTCACTCAGTCAACAAATTTCCTGGATACTGCACTAGGAGCTTTAAATGCATGATTTCGTTTTATCTCCATAGCAGCCCTGTGAAGATGGATAGTATTCTCCTTGTACAGATGGGGAATCAGGCTTAGAGAGATCAGATAACTTGCCCAAGGTAAGAAAGCTAGGCAGCAAAGGAGCTGGGGCTCAAACTTGGGTCTTTCAGACTTCATCTCTCTCATATCCATGACCTCATTTCCAGAGTAGATTCCAACTCCTTGGCCTAGCACTTGAGGGACTGCTTCCCTCCATATCTGGACACGAATTCCTTCTCTCACCTCTATCCATCACTGACTACTCGCTGTTTCTCACGTGTGCTTTCTCACCTCGGTGCGTTTGTTCACGCACTTTCTTCTACTTGAAAGTCAACTTTTCGCAGCTTCCCCTGCCCTCCACCCCCAAGCTAAAGGAGCTCGCTTTCTTGTCAGTGCTCCTGCGGTATTTTATCTGACCCTCTTTTATGACAGTTAGAACTTGCAGCTGCTTCACTGTCATGTGAGTGACATGTGTCTTGTGCCCCCCCGTAGGTCTTCCGTGTGTGTGCCCTCAAGGACGAGGGGAAAAGGTCAGGGTCTGGCACTAAGCAGCACGTGTTCAGCTTCCCTCTGGCTAATCAGTCCTCTGACTGCATCAGGAGCTTAGCTTCTTTTTAAAAAGAACTGGTTTATTTTTAAGTTTGCTTCAGAAAAACAAAATGAAGCGGTCTGTAGTAGAAAGAAAATCATTTATTATCTTCCAAAGTTAAATAGAATGACGTTAAAATTACTGGTTAGTTGGGGATTTCCATTGGAAGTTGGCAGTCAGGAGATCTATGTGTAACAATAGTTCTGCTGGTGACCTTGAGCAGCTCACTTAACCTCTTAGGACCTTGATTTCTTCATCAGTAAAGTGCATGTAGGTACTAGGGGGGTGAGTCGGGGTGGGGGTGATTGTGGGGAGGATTGACGGAAATGATCTCTAAGGTCTCTTCTTGCCCAGACATGCTTTGACTTGAACTCTCTGATCCATCCCAGAGCATCTTAAAGAAAGCAGAATAATGTAATGATTAAAAATGTGGGCCCAGGACTCTGTGTATCAGTTTAGAAGCTTTTGGCTCAAGCAGTACAAATCTGAACTCAGTTGGTTTAAACAAAAAAGGGGATTTATTGACTCATGTAACTAGAAAGTCTAGGAATTTCTAGATTTCAGGTTTCAGGTATAGTCTAATCCAGAGATTCTTAATGTCTTCACAAATATGACTCCATTTCTCTGTAATTCTTTCAGCTCTGCCATCCTCCATGGCTGCGACAGTTCAAGTGGCTACATCAGTTCAAGGCTTCCTATCTGCACATCACTCTAGTTCAAAACAAGAAAGATCTTTTCCAACCTCAACCATCAAACCAGAGTCCCGGGCTTTACTCTGATGGGACCAACTTATGTCATGTGTCAACTCTTCATCCACATACTGACCAGGGGATACCAAGGTCTGATTGGCTAAGGTCAATTAAGCCCATCTCTAGAGGTTAGGGAGTGGTCAGCCCTGCCTAAATCACAAGGCTGCTGTGTAGGAGGGCAGGATAGAACGGGTATGGAGAAGTTTGACCACGTTCTCTGCTATAGCTACATTGCCCATGATCAAATTCTGGCTCTACTAGCTATATGTTCTTGGGTAAATTACCTAACTTTGTCAAGCATCAGTTTCCTCATCTGTAAGATGAGATAACAATACATATCTCAGAGGATTGTTGTAAGGATTCAGTTAAATAATATACGTAAAGTGCTTAGTGTAGTTGCTGGCACAGAGTAAGTGTGATGATGATGATGGTGCTGGTGATGATGAGATTGAAGAGAGAGCAATGTTATTAGCCCCAATTTGGGAAGCAGCCAAGTTACAGGAATGTTATCGAGTCAGAAGTGTGCACACATGCAATGTTGAAGGCTCCTGTTTGATCTACTGCCAACATCATACTCTTCCCTATCTCTGCTCTTTTTTGCTAGAAATGCTTTCCTTCTTCTCCCCTGCCTTTCAGTCTTCCTCATATTTCGAGGCCTGGCATAAGTGCCACATTTATGGTCAACAGGTTAGGTCAGTGATTTTGTATGTGTATAACTGAGTCTGCCCATGAACAGGATCAGTAAGAGTTAGGAGCTCAGGTCTGCATTTGACAGCCCTGGCTTTGCCTCTTGTAAGTGGTGTGACTTGGGGAAGTTATCGCCTCTCTGTGCGTTAGTTTCCTCAGCTGTAAAACAGGGTCTTAATAGTACCTTCCTCAGAGAGTTGCTGAGAGAATGAAATGATGTAATGTATAGAACGAGCTTAGTTCAATGCTGACACAGTAAATAGTAGCTCTTAGTAGTTACTGTTATTTGTAGCCTCCTGAGGACAAGGTCTGTGCTGTAGTCTCTGCAGCAGTTACTGCTGTGCTGGGCACTAGTAGGTGCTGAGTAAACACTTGTTAGTGGGTTTTGAGGAGTGTGGAAGCTCTCTCTGCTTTTCACAACCGTCTCCTTGCCGCCTCCCCCGACATCAAAAATAGCAGCTCCTAGACCTTTGCAAAGTCCGTGTAGGAAAGTAGATGATGTGGAAGATTGAGTTGCAAGCAGTGAAGAAGGGGTGATAAGGAGGGTGGACGGGCGGCACATGAGACGTGTAAGCAACAGGAAACTAAGAGGGAACCAGCAAGTGGCTGTTCTGTGTTCCACCCTCTAGCCATCAAGTTCAGCGCTGCCCAAGTCATTGTTTGATTCAACTGGTGGTGAAATGGGGGTCAACCAGTCCGTGGGCTTTCCACCTGTCACAGGACCTCACCTGGTGGGCTGCGGGGATGTGATGGAGGGTCGGGGCCTCCAGGTAAGTGTCTCCGGCTCCGTCCCTGCACATCTTCGCTGCTTCCGCCTGCACTGTGACTTATCGATAGCCGTCTGATGGTGCAATTCTGAGTGGGGGAACTGAGTTAGAACTGAGTTAGAGCTGGTCTGGATTTGGTTATACAGCCCCCTGATCTGTCCTCCCTGATCTTTTTCTTCCTCTTTCCAATTAGAGACATCTCAATAGAGGTGATGGGTTCTTTTTTCAGCTAGGAGGAAAGGGCGGTTCTAGCTTCAAAGGCAGCTCTCAGATCCTCTCACTTGTCTTGAGAACAGATGCCTGATCCTGGGAAGGTTTTTGATCTCATCCTAATCTGAGTATATGAGAGGAAGAGCAGTGGACCATGTGCCGTTAGCCTTGAACTCCCTGACCTGGGTAGGAAAACAGTCTCCTTTTTCTCCTCTCCTGCCTTCCTCTGTTTTCCCCTCCTGCTTTGGTTCTGGACTTTCCCTCCATCAGTTGCTAGGTCCTTCTCTGCTGGCCCATGGACTCCCCCGCTCCCTTGTGAGAGGTGCATACTTCCTGGTAACCTCTCAGCTACTCCCATGTAAAATGAATGTGCTGTGTTCCCAAGGGCCAGCCTGGATGACTAGCCTGGGGGACCCACTGATGCCACCCCGTTCAGCACGAGGGCTAATCTCTCACTCTGGGGACTCCTCCAGGCCTGGGCTCAGGGCAAGATTTAAATCTTTCAGTGTCCTAAGCACTGAAAATATTTTGGTGTCCCCCAGCTGTAATTCAAATACAGTCAGCTCTTGTAAGCCTTACATGTAGGCTAAAAATAAAATTGCTTCTTTCTGGATTTTCTGAATGCAAAATTCAGGTATATGAATGGAAGCTTAAGTTTCTTGCTTTGGTGCCTGCTTTGCTGGTGCCCCCAACACCTGCTGAGAGTGTCTGCTGGGAAATCTAGCCGTGCTTGGGCTTCTTGCTCTGAGCAGCTGCCCTCTTCTTTCCTATAGGGGAGCTTCTTTCGACTCTTCTATCCTTGCCAAGAGGCAGAGGTGACCACGGAGCTGCCCCTGTGGATTCCCCGCTATGAATATTGCACTGGCCTGGCCAATTACCTGCAGTTTAATAAGCGCTGGGGAGGATTGCTGTTCAACCTGGCTGTGGGTAAGGACTGGCCTCACCCCCAGATGCTTTCACACCTTCTTGGTTATGTTCCTAGGAGGTCCCCAGGCAGACACAGTACCTTATAGCTTACATTGTCCAGCCCTTTTGTGTGGGGCATCCATCAGCCAGTGTGGTGTAGAGAGTTGGGAGAGAATTATATGCATAAGAGCTTTGGTTGTAGAGTTAGACTGTCCTGGATTGGAATGCAGACTTGATCACTTACTAGCTGTGGGGCTTGGGCAAGTTACTTAAGCTGTCTGAATATCTGCCTTTGCAGGATGGTAGTGTGGGGTGTATGTAAAGTGTCTAGCACAGTGCTTGGGACATAGAATGTGTTCCAAAAATGGTGGCTGTTACTCGTTTGTTCAGCGTGTATTAATTCCACTCTGTGCCAGCTATAGTGTAGATCAAAGAAACATTCTTAACTATGAAGGAGCATACCGTCTCCTGCAATTCCCACCCCCAGCTCTCCCTTCTTCTGGGTAGGATCACACTGAATCATCCACTTCCCCCAAAGACTCCACCATTAGGAACTCTGCCCACTGCCTTGGCATCTCTGGAATTCACCCCGTAGTTGTTAGGTGCTTCCCCTCTGGATTTATCATCCCATTTTCTATTGTGTTCATGCTCCCTGGGGAAGAAAAGGGGAAAGAATAGGTGATTGATTGCCTTGGGCTGCTCAGGGGCGAAACATGGTTCACTAGAGAGGAGGGACACATGTCCTCACCCATGCCTGTGCCCAGGCTGCCCTTGGGATTACAGCTCTGGGGCAGCCAGAGATTCTATAGCCCATGTCTTTGCTAGGATCTTGTCGCCTGCCTGTTAGCTGGAATGGCCCCTTTAAGACAAAGGACTCTGGATACCCCTTGATCATCTTCTCCCATGGCCTGGGAGCCTTCAGGTAAGAGCTTCTCTTCCCCAGACCTTGTCATATTCCTTGCCTGGTGACAGCTGCTGAGTCTTGACTTATTCTCAAAGGGTGGAGAAACAGATATTTCCATCTGCCAGCTGTCTTTTCTACCATCTGCTTCATTCCAGAGCATTGGGTCCATCTTCTCTCAAAGGCCTTTCCCAAGCCCCTTTCACCTGCTTCACGTCCTTTTAGCAGGCTTCACGTCCTTTGCTTTGCATGTCCCAGCCTTTATATAAATAAACACTTTTAGCTTTCTTCCTGTAGAACAGCCCAGTGGCACTGTGGTGCTGGTGCAGTGGTGAATAAGATAGACGGCTCCCTGTACTCGCCTCCCCTGGACAGCTCAGCCACACCGCCTGTGCTCTGGGTGAGCTGGGACAGCTATAGAACTCTCTGAGCCTGGACTTCATCATCTGTCAAATGGGAGTGCCGCTCCCACGGGTGGTTGTGAGGATTCAGTTAGTCTGGCACCTAGTAGGTGTACGTGCATGCCAGGTCTCCTGTCCTTTTCTCTACATGGAGGAACATGGGAGGGTGGACTGTAAGATCTCTTCTACCAGACTTCAGGAAACGCTGGCCTGTGTTATAAGTCATAGCCATTCAGGATTCTTCCCATGAATTCTGATTTCTACCCCTTGGTGTGCTGGATAGCTTAATAACCATAGTACATGTGTTCCTATTTAAGCTTGTGAATGTTCTCTCTATAGGTTCATTCATCAACGTGTAAGTCTAGTTTCTGTCCCAGAGTGTTGCACATCTCGATACATCTATTTTTGCCTCCCCATCCCCCAAACCATTGTCCACACTGTAGCCAGGGAGATCTATTTTAAAACCAAATGTGAGGGGCTGCCCCGTGGCTTAGCGGTTAAGTGCTTGCGCTCCGCTGGTGGCAGCCTGGGTTCGGATCCCGGGCGCACACCGACACACTGCTTGTCCGGCCATGCTGAGGCCATGTCCCACATACAGCAACTAGAAGGATGTGCAGCTATGACATACAACTATCTACTGGGGCTTTGGGGGAAAAATAAAAAAAAAAACAACCAAGTGTGATCTTGTCATTCCAGCACCTAGAACAGTGCCCAGTAGGTGCTCAATAAATGTTTCTTGAATGAATGAATGGATGGATGGATGGATGGATGTCACTTCCCAACTTAAATATTTTTAATAGCCCTTTGCACTTTAATTCAGTTCTTGTCATAGTCTTACCTGGATGCAGGCCCAAGAGAAAGTTCCCAGCCTCGTGTCTTGCTACTCGCCCCCCTCCAGCACACTGACCTTCTTTCACTTCCGGAAAGGCACTCTGTCATTTTCTGCCTCAGGGTTTTCATCTGTGCTGTGCTTTGTGGCTGTTCCCTTTGCCGGAATATTTGCTCTTCCGCTCCTCTCTTCCTTTTTTCCCTCTCAGTCTTTTGCCTGGCTAGTTCCAAATTACCTTCAGGGTCTTGGTTTGGATGTCACTTCCTTAGAGACACCCATCCTGACCCCTCTATTATATCGGGTTTTCCAATAACGTGCTTTCATGAGACAATCTGTACTTCTCAGTACTTAACATAATTGTAATGAATTAATTATTTTGTATGATTATTCTTTAATGTCTGTCTTTCCGACTAGATTGTAAGCTCCATGAAGGCAGAGACCATGAGTGTCTTCTGTCTCTCCCAGTGCCTAGGACAGTACCTGGAAAGTAGTAGTTTCCTAATAAATATTTATAAGTGAAGACAAGGGCTTTGTTTTGCTAGGTTCTCATTCATTCAGCAAATGTCTGCTGAGCACCTGCTCTGGGCCAGCCCCTTAGCATGAGAAGAAAGTGGGACATATTGAGATAGACAAATCAAGGAATCTGCCTTCAGAAGGATTGTAGTCTAGTGGGGAAAAGAAGCTAAGAAACATTTCTAAGCTCACAGGTATTTTATATAAAGAGCAGGTGAGCACATGACTGGGTGAGCCAGTTATAAATACTCTTCATTAACAGGAGTGAAATTTCTAGAAAAAGGCAGGGATGGAAAGGGACATGGTTTCCTCTCGTGGTTAAATCGGGATCTGAAATCCTTCCCATGGGTCACAGACCTATGACTTCCCACCCCAGGGAAGAGTATGTGCATTTAAATACTCCCTAACAGGTTTGCAGTGTGCCGTTGTCTCCTTTGGTTCCCACACAGTCCTGTGAGGTAGGCGAGGGGGATGCATATTTTACAGATGAGCACACAGGCTCTGAAAGGCAGACTTGCTCAAGGTTGCACAGTTTGAACTGGTTAGGGATCAGAAATCTCTCTGGCTCTTTAAGTTCAGTTCACGGCCTCCCCCAGAGAAGTGGGAGAAGGTGAAAAGAAGCTTAAGAAACTGACTTTCCTGAATCAGTTAGGATCCAGGCAAGTTGTATTTAACAGAAAAACCCCAAACAATAGTTACCTAAGTAATATAAAACTTGTATCTTGCTCAGATAAAAGAAAGCTGGAGGTAGACAGAGCTGATATAGTAGTTCCACAAAGTTATCAGAGAACCAGACTTGTTTTATAATCTTGCTCTGTCACATGTGGCTTCCATTTCTAAAGCTATCTAATGACCCAAGGTGGTTGCTTTAGCTCCAGCCAATACATCCACATTCCAGGCAGGAGGAAGCGAGAACTCTCCTGAAAGTTCTATATAAAACAGCACAACTGCTTACATCCCATTGACTAGAGCTGCTCTCTCCATTATAATAACTTCTAGCCACTTGTGGCTGTTGAACATTTGAAATATGGCTGGTCGAAACTGAGATGTGCTGTAAGTATAAAATACACATTAGATTCAAAGACCTCATATGAAAAAGAAGAAAGTATTTCATTAATTTTTAAATTTTGGTTATATGTTGAAATGATAATGTTTTGGCTGTATTGGGTTAAATAAAATATATTATTAAAATTAATTCTGTTTCTTTTTACTTTTTAAGATATATCTATTAGAAAATTTTAAATTACTTATGAGAGTGGCATTATATTTCTGTTGCTGGGCTAGAACTTAATCATGCAGACAAACCTGGCTGCAGGGGAGGCTGGGAAATGTCATACTTTGGTAGTATGACAGTGTGTCTTCAGCTGAAAATCAGATTCTGTTATTAAGGAGGAAGGCAAAAATACATGTTTGTAGTAGACAGTAATGTCTGCCATATTCCTTTTTTTCTGGAAAGTTGGAGGACAGACAAAAAAATCCACATGCTAAATCACAGGTACGTATTTGCATATTTAAAGAAATATTTGCATATTTAAAGAAATAGCCAGAGCGGCCAGCCCTGTGGCAGAGCAGTTAGGTTCGCACGCTCCGCTTAGGTGGCCTGGGGTTCACAGGTTCGGATCCCAGGCACAGACTGATGCACCGCTTGTCAAGACATGATGTGGCGGCATCCCATATAAAGAGGAGGAAAATGGGCATAGATCTTGGACCAGGGCCAACCTTCCTCAGCAAAAAGAGGAAGATTGGCAATGGATGTTGGCTCAGTGCTAGTCGTCCTCACAAAAAAAAAAAAAAAGAAAGAAATAGCCGGAGTCCCTGTCTTCAAGGAGCTTACCAACTAACTTGGGAGACATGCAATATATAGACAATAAAAATGCAATTGTTGGAAGTAGCCAAACTATATGGGGATGGGGGGGGTGGGGGTGGAGGAGATGAGTCAGTGTATGGGGTGGGAAAACACCATGGATTGATTGCATGTGCTTCCTGGAGGAGGACACTTGGAGCCTTGGTGAGAAAAGGGGTACGCTGGCTGGAGAAACACCTTGAGAAGGCTGCTACAAATGCAACTTCCTCTATTCAATCTTCTGAGATGGCCGCTAGCAGAGCATGATTGGAGTGAGGGCTAAGGGTGAGCCATTTTGATCACTTCTGTGTTCCCTCCTGAATCTCTAGGACACTGTATTCAGCGTTCTGCATGGAGCTGGCCTCCCATGGCTTTGTGGTTGCTGTACCAGAGCACAGGTGAGGGATGACAGTGATAATGAACTGTCATGGCTGAGTGCCTGCGGTGGGCTAGGATATAGGCTAGTCCCCTATCGATACATTGTTTCCAATCCTCACAACAGCCAAGCAAGGTGGCTATTATACCCATTTTAAAGGTGTGGAAACTAAAGTTCAAAGACGTTAAATAACTTGCTGAATGTGCCATAGCTGAGTTGGGGTTCAAACCCAGGTGAGTCTCCAAAATCCCTGTTTTTCCTACTCTCCTATGCATGCCCTCAGATCTTTTTCCCTGCTAGCCAAAGGATGATCTAGAGTGTCTTGGCTGAAAAGGAGGATTTGGTAAAGGGGAGAAGCTATTTCTAAGCTCAAGAGTGTCTTCTGGTTTCTCTCTGGTGGCATGTGTATTTCAGGGACGGGTCAGCTGCGGCCACCTGTTTCTGCAAGCAGGCCCCCGAGGAGAACCAGCCCACTACTGAGTCGCTGGAGGAGGAATGGATCCCCTACCGTCCAATTGAGGAAGGGGAGAAGGAATTCCATGTTCGGAATGGCCAGGTAGGCTTGTGCCAGCTGGGGAGGGACAGTTCGTAAGCCTGTCCTCCCTATTCTGTACTCGCTAAGAAAACTTTTAACTAACCTGCTCTCTGGAAATCTCCATCACAGCGGATCTGAGCTTGCCACATCAGGAAAAGGGGGTGTTAATCAAAGCTCTTACACTTGCAAGTGACAGAAACCAACTTAAGCTTGTTAGGCAAAAAGGAGAATTGATTGGGCTTATATAAGCAGACTGTAGGGAGGGCAGGACCCCAGACTCAAATGCGTCAGGACTTGTTTTTCATTCTCATCTGTCTCTTCTAGGTCAGAACCACCACGCTTGACAGCCTGAGCTTGCGTATGTCTGACCTCACCATCTGAGAGAACAGGGCTGTTTTGGGGTTGTTCCCCCTGCCCCAAGCTGCAATATGAAAAATCCTGGAGAGAGACTCCTAGGCTGGGGAGAAGTACCAAAATGAGAAGTTCCCATCAGAAATACATTGATAGATTTTTTTAGGGGGGAGAGCAATCCTCAAAAGTCAGGGTTAACAGGAGAAGTGGGGGCAAGTAAGTGCTAGGCAGATAAAAACAATAGATGTGTGCTATGAAGGGGCAAGTAGGATCCAGTACTGGGTTGATAACATGAATCTTCTTATTTCCAACTGTTTTTAAAACACTTTTGTATGCATTGTCTTATTTGTCCTGACAACTCCGTGGGTAGGTGGGTAGAGTCTGAACGGCAGGCCTGACTCCACTGTACTGCTAGGTGATGCTTATGTGAGCCGTGGCGAGGGAGCTGAGCCTTTCTCAGAATGTGGGCCCCACAGTGCTTGCTGAGATGGGGTGGGCACACTATCCTTGCATTCTTCCCTGGCACTGTAGGGGAGTGAGATTCTCGCTGGATAGTTGTGCAGTGTTCCAGCTCCCACTGGGATTGTCTCTGTTGCAGGTGCATCAGAGGGTGAGCGAGTGTACACGGGTGTTGAAGATCCTGCAAGAAGTCACTGCTGGGCAGACTGTCCTCAATGTCTTGCCTGGTGGGTTTGATCTGATGACCTTGAAGGTATGGCAGTGGTTGGAATGACTTGGAGCGCATGTATTCATCAGGACTTTCTTGGTTACAGATAACAGAAACCTAACTCACTAGCTTAAACCCAGAGAATTTATTGGCTCAAATAACTAGGAAGACCAAAGACGGATTGGCTTTAGGCCAGTGTAGCTAGATCTGGGGTCTCAAACACTGTCATCAAAGCTCTGGCACTCTCTCCCTTCTCCTGGCTCAGTTCCACTCTGTGTATGTGGGCTTCATTCTCCATTAAGCAAGAAAGGTGGTAGCTGACAGCCCGAGCCTGCATTTCAACTCAGCTCCGGATCTAAAAGGGAAAGAGCCTCTGTTAGCTTTCACTAATCTGGGAAGGCTGTGGCCCTGCTTGGGTCACGCACCCCTTCAGGGCCAATCACTGTGCCAGAGGGGTAGGGTATTCTGATTGGCCTGCCTAGATTATACAGTCACTTCTGGGTCAGGGGAACCTGGCACCAGGACTGATGGCCCCACAGGGCCACATGGATAAGGGAGAGATGGTCTCTTCCCTAAAGGAAGGGCTATGGAGCAGTGGACAACCTGTATCTACTGCAGGCTAAGTCCTTCCTTTGAGGGACTCCCAAGAACCCTCCTAGGAGGATAGAAACCATCCTGGCTTTGGAATTTGATGCCTATGAGTGTACACTCCACCATCACCACCACCACCACCAATTTTTCCCCCTAATTCCAAAGTAGCTCAGGATCTACTCAGAGAACCAAGAAATCAAACAAAAGCATGAAGAAAAAAGAAGCAAAGAATTTTTTTTTTGACATTTTGATGTTTATCCTTCCAGTTCATTAAAATGCATAGCATAAATGTATGTATTTTTTAAAGCAATAATGTTATCATTTAATACAAGCTGTTTTGTGGCCTTTTTCTTCACTTAGCAAACCACTGTGAATGTCTTCTTATGCCAGTTAATATTTTTCTGTGGCATGATTTTTAATGTAATCTTCTACCGTGTGAATGAGAATGGTACATATATAAAATAACAATTACTGCTTTGTGAGTACTTTCTATGATAAAAGCTCATCATACGAACTTATGAAGTAAGCTTTATTATCTCTCTCTTTTTTTTTTTTTGTGAGGAAGATCAGCCCTGAGCGAACATCCCTGCCAATCCTCCTCTTTTTGCTGAGGAAGACCGGCTCTGAGCTAACATCTATTGCCAATCCTCCTCCTTTTTTTCCCCCCAAAGCCCCAGTAGAGAGTTGTATGTAATAGCTGCACATCCTTCTAGTTGCTGTATGTGGGACGCGGCCTCAGCATGGCCGGAGAAGCAGTGCCTGGTGCGCGCCCGGAATCTGAACTCGGGCCGCCAGTAGCGGAGCTCGGGCACTTAACCGCTAAGCCACAGGGCCGGCCCTTATTATCTCTTTATATGGAAAGAAATCAAGGATTAAAGAAGCTAGTTATCTACACAAGGTTATACAACTAAGTGGTAGAGTCAAACCTTAAATTGGAGCTTTTTGATTCCAAAGCCTGTGCCTGTAGAAAATATCTTTTAAAGGCTCTGGTGAAGTCTTCCAGGGAGAAGCATCTGCCTGGATGGCCAGTAGGTAAGGCAAAACCTGAAATCTAGACTGCTTTTACCAACTATTTGGTGTGTGTTGTCAACCCTCACCGGACAAGCAGGTCCCCTAGTCCCTGACGTCCAGGCCTGCCTGCCTGTGAGCCTGAGACAGGTACTGGGGCATGGCAGGCTACACTGTGTTTGGATTAGTCAAGAGGCAGCCTTCTGGAGAAATACAGAATTTAAAACGCTAAGTAAATTTTCACCTGTCAGATTAAGATCCAAAAATTAATTACTCACTCTGTTGGCAAAGCTGTGGGGGAGTAGATACCGTCTTCCATTGTCAGGGAGAGTACACATTGCCCCAAGCAGGGCAGTTTTGCAATACTGTCAACAGTACAAATGCACATATTCTTTGACCCAGCAATTTCCAGTTCTGGGAATTTATTCTACAGATACCTGCATACATGCAACATGATGTATGTACAAGGTTAATCATTCCAGTGTTGTTTGTAATAGCAAAAGATTGATAGTATCCTAAATGTTCATCAGCAGGGGAACTGGTTTAATAGATTGTGAAACAATGGATGTGTTTGTTTGGGTGATATAACACATAAGCCCCAAATCTCAGTGGCTTAACACAATAGAAATTTATTTCTATCCCGCATAAAGTCCAAAATGGGTGTTCCTGTGCAAGGGGTGACTAAGGGATCCAGGCTCCTTTCATGTTATAGCTCTACCCTCTTCACTTGTGAAACCCACCTTCACCGTGTACGTTAAGCCAGGAAAGGGAAAGGGCATGGAGCTTTGTACGCAACGGTTTTTATGGACCAAGCCTGGAAGTGGAGCTATCATTTTCACTCACATTCTATTGGCTAGAACTCAGTCACAAGGCCACATCTGTATGGAGTCTAGCTGTGTGTCCAGGAAGAAGAGAACAGATGTGGTGATCAGCTAGCTACCGTGGTGAAACCAAATCTAGGTGTACAAAGGGATAAGGAAGCTCATTATGTACTAATATTATTGTACAAAAAGGAAAGATACAATATCACATGTAAAAGGGGGGGAAAGTATGTATTCACGTTCACTTGTATATGCATAAGTAAGCTATGCAAAGACACATAAGAAACCTGTTTGGAGGTGGACAGTGGCCAACTATGTGGAAGGAGAACGTGGTAGTAGGGAGCCTTCTCTGTATACTCCTGATGTTAGAGTTACGTGGATATATTGACGTATAAAAAAAGCTGAAGAGGCCCCCAACCAAGTTGTTGATCTGAAGGTACTGAGCAAAGGGGGAGAATTTAGATACAAGGCCTTGGGGTAGAAATTGAGGAGCGCACAAGTTCAGGGCAAAGGCTGGGCAGCCAAGCCTAGAGAGATTTCCTGAGCCCTTTAGCAGGCAGCTGCAGTGGCTTTTTATATAACTAGGCCCTGAAGGCTTCTGGGGACAAACAGAAATAGGTACTTGCGGGGCATGTTGGAGCGAGCAGACTCACTCTGCTGGATAAAAGTCAGGACAGATATCCAGAGGAAGTAGAACCTGAGTTGGTTTCTGTACAAGCAGGCCTTGCTTCAGAGTGACGTGGACGGGCAGCAGGAGCTCCCTCGTTCTACCCTCGACGTGGTGCCTATGTCATCCTGTAGGCCACTTATAAAGCAGGGATCTAGAGGATGGAGAGAGTTCTTATTCTTAACATGCTCTTACACTGATGGGTCCGTGTGGAATCACATCATTTCTATCCATTCATTTATTCATAGATATTGGAACGTCTACGCTAGTCCAGGTATTGTAGGTGGTAAGATTACAAAAATAAAGATGAAAAACATTATGTTCAGAATTCCTGCGTGCAGAAGGCCGTTCAGTCCAGAGATTGCCTGCCCGGCTGTTCTCCGGCAGGCAAGAGGTTCCTAATGTATAGGGGGGAGCTCACTCGCTGGATTGGGCTTCTGCATCATCGTCTCACTGTTCCTTTCTCTTGCCGCTGAAGAATTCCTTCAGAAGCAGCCCTGCATTTCGGGTTTGGCTAAGTTCTCCACTTTCCTCAGGGCAGCATCGACATGAGCCGTGTGGCTGTGATGGGACATTCGTTTGGAGGGGCCACAGCTATTCTGGCTTTGGCCAAGGAGACCCAATTTCGGTGAGTTTCCCAGTGATGCTGCTGTTAGCTCCACGCACCATTCATTCATTCAGCAAATATTTGTTACACAAGTATTATGTGCCTGGCACTGTTTTGGGGGCTGAGGATTCAGTGGTGAGCCGGAGAACAAGGTCTCTGCTTTCATGGAATTATGTCATTGTGGGAGGAGATAGACTAGTAAACAAGCTAACAAGTCATCAAATCCCCAGCACCCAGGTGCAATGGAGACAATAAAACAGGCTGATATGCGAGAGTATCTGAAGGCTTCTTTGAGAAAGTGCTGTAAGCCAAGAATGGAAACGTAAAGAAGTCAGCCATATAGAGGTGTAGGGGAAAATCATTCTAGGCAGAGGGAACAGCTAACACGAAAGCCCTGAGGTGGAAAGAAGCTTGCTGTCAGGGTGGGAGGAGCAGAGTGGGTGAGGGGGAAGGAATTCAAGATGTGATCAGAGAGATCAACAGGGGCCAGATCATGGGGCCTTTGGCCAGAATAAGGAAGTTAGGTTTTATTCTAAGTCTGATGAGAAACCATTGAAAGATTTTAAGCAGAGAAAAATCTTACTTACACTTTAAAAGATCCCTCTGGTTACTGTGTGAAGAGTAGATTGAGCAGGAGGAGACTCAAAACAAGGAGGCTACTTAGAGGGAGGCAATTTCAGAGTCAAGGTGAGCGATGAGGGATTTGCTTTAGGATGGAGGTAATGGGATGGACAGAAGGGAAGGGAGTCAGGCTATGTTTTAGAATTTTCAAGACTTAATGATGTATGAGGTGAAAGAAAGAAGGGAATCAAAGTTTTTCATTTTTGTATTTATCATTTGAGTGGAAGATAATTATCCATTATTGAGATGGAGAAGATTGGAGGAACATTGATGGAGAGAGGGGCACTAATTTTAGGGCCTTTGTTTTGCCCCTGGTGACAGAGATTACTGCTTGACAAACTGGCCAGGTCTTTGCCTTGTGGCCCCAAGGAGGCTTTTCCTGACCTCCCCCACCACGTACACTGTGGACTCACATAGCACCTTATGCACTCAGGGCGCTAGGCTCTATTTTGTTACCTTGTCTGTTCTGTCTCCCCTTCTAGACTGGGAGCCCCTTGAGAGCAAAAACTGTGTCATTTATCTCTGTATCCACAGCATAGGGCTAGGCACGTAGTAGGTACTCAATGAATGTTGAGTGAATGAATGATTAAATGAATGAAGTGCCATTTTGTGTAACTCAAGTCAGCTGCCTGAGAGTAGATCCAGGAGAATGAGAAGGTCTGATCCTTGCTCTCAACGAGTTTAAAATCTAGAAGGATGTTTGGCGACAGATAAAAGCTATCTCTATCCAAGGTCCTAACCAAAGGGCGTGGGCCCTGGTACCTCCTTCCTGGCTTCCAGAGCCTTCACCCCACTGGAGGGAGGAACTCCACCCCTCCCCCACTGCCCTCACTGTTCTTGCCTGGGCTTCTGCATGGCGGTTCCAAATGTCTGGTCCTATTCCAGGTGTGCTGTGGCTCTGGATGCTTGGATGTTTCCTCTGGAACATGACTTTTACCCCAAGGCCCGAGGCCCTCTGTTCTTCATCAATGCTGAGAAATTCCAGACAATGGAGAGTGTCAACTTGATGAAGAAGATATGTGCGCAGCATGAACAATCCAGGATCGTAACTGTCCTGTGAGTAAACACCAAGGTCATGATCCCTGGTGTCCTCTCCATTCTCTCTCAGCTATGTTGGCTACCTTAATTTCTTCTGAATTATCCAGCAGTTCTGCCCATTACTAGAATATATAAATACTGCCTGAATTTCAACATCTTAATTTCTTTAGAATTTCATTCTGTCCTTCTCCACTTTGCTGTACCAACAGTGATTTCCTCACTAGTTTATATGACTTTATGACCAGATTTGGCTGTTGCTTCTGGGAAAAGGGTGCTGTGGGATTGTGTGTTGGAGAGGAAGAGGTGTGGGTCTGAGTGGACTCCAGAGATCTCTAACCTCATTTGGGAATTTTACTGGGTCTTTTGAAGAATGTGGATATAGTAGACCTTTGACATTCACAAGATAGATTTTCAGAGACCTTCATGTATACCTAAATTCAGATATCTTCCATAAACCACCTATATTTTGCCTAAGAGAAACAACATTCTCTTCACTTCCATCACCAGCATTATCAGATGGTTTTCTTTCAGAAGCCATTTTTCACAGAGAGAAAATTTTTGAGTGACTTTAAGAAATGTACTGTACACGGGAAGTGGCTTAGAGCTACAAGTGCAGGGCTGAAGGCTCACTGACCAGCTCTCTGACTTGCACCTGCCCTGCCCTCGAGCCCAACAGCACACATGCTTCCAGGATCCCATGTCCTGGTTCAGCAAGACAAGGTTAACTGCATGCCACGGACCTGTGGAATCACTCAGGTAGTTGAAATGCCAGATCCAAAGCCCTGGAATGCTTGGGGTGTGCTGGTAGTCAGTGGCTTCTTCCCTTGCTCGTCTTGGCCAGGCCCTCTTCCTAGGGGCCGGCCCCCTCCTTTCATTTTGATTTCATGGCAGCAGAAGACTGCTTGAAAGTTTCCCAAGCCACTCAGATTCAGGATAATTGTGACCTCTGGAGGGAAGGAAGGTGAGAGCAGTTGGGAAGGTGTACACGATGGGGATTTAACTCTCGGCAATGTATTATCTTACACTGAGTGCTGGATACTCAATTATCCATTATATTATTCTTTACACTTTTTCATGTGTCTTAAATAATACCCTTTTTAAGTCAGTTTTTCTGCATGATATGCAAGTTTAGCATTTAGACTTTTCTTCCCTCATTGAATTGACTAGTAAATTTAGTTATGAATAATTTAGCCCAAAATGAACCTAGCGAGAATTTCTCCTTTGAATTAAATGTATTTGATGTCAAAGGACTTAAATTCTAATCCAGAAACCCTCTTTTACGAGTACTAGCCCTCACTCTTCTTTATTTATTTATTTTTTTGTGAGGAAGATGAGCCCTGAGCTAACATCCGTGCTAATCCTCCTCTTTTTGCTGAGGAAGACCGGCTCTGAGCTAACATCTATTGCCAATCCTCCTCCTTTTTTCCCCCAAAGCCCCAGTAGATAGTTGTATGACATAGTTGCACATCCTTCTAGTTGCTGTATGTGGGATGCGGCCTCAGCATGGCCGGAGAAGCGGTGCGTCGGTGCGCGCCTGGGATCCGAACCCCGGCCGCCAGTAGCGGAGCATGCACACTTAACCGCTAAGCCACGGGGCCGGCCTAGCCCTCACTCTTCTGAGTACTTAAATAAAGGCAAGCGATTCCTTTTTCCTGTTTACTTTGTGGAACAATTCCAAAGAAGGAGTGAATATGTTTTGTGAATGTTCGGGAGCCACCAGGTAAAAGCTACGGTGTAATAGTTGATAATAACATGGGGCTGGCAGGTGCTGCAGGCCTTGCCTCCTGGCCCCTGGCCCCTCTCTAGCTCAGCCTTTTCCCTGCGCTGTCAGGCATTGGGGTCTAGGGGTTGAAGCAGCTTTGAGGCCAGGCACACCTGTGTTCAAATCCTGACTCTGTCCCTTACTAGCCATATGACCTTGAGCAGATGATTTCTCTGCTCTGTCAAAGGGCAAAATATTTCCCTTACAGGATTGTTGTGAAAATTTACTGAGATAACGTGCATAAAGCACCTTGCAGGTGGAAGGTGCATCACAAATGTTTGTGTGCCCTAGTCTGCAGATCCCTACCAGTTATTTGTTTTTCTTTTCCTCTAGTGGTTCTGTTCATCGGAGTCAAACTGACTTTGCTTTTGTGGCTGGTAACTGGATTGGTAAATTGTTCCCCACTCAAACCCGTGGGAGCTTGGACCCCTATGAAGGTCAGGAGACTGTGGTGCGGGCCATGTTGGCCTTCCTGCAGAAGCACCTTGGTAAGGAGAGGACTGGGGCTTGTGGGGCAGCCTGGGAGTCCTTAGATTTCCCTGCACAGTGGTCTGTGGCAATCTCACAGGAGATTTATGGCAAAAGGAAAACCCGAGTGAAGGAGAGAGTTACATAGAATTATAGAAAGAATGCTTAGCTGAAAGTTTGGAAATCCTGACTCTATTTCTTACTACCTGAATGACTTTGGCCTAGTCATTTAACTTCTCTGAGCCTTGGTTTCCTCACTGTAAAGGGAACAGTCGCTTCTCTACTCCACTACCTCTGTGCTAACTCATTATCACTCACCTTATCTGTATGGTGGAGGAGGTTCTGATGATAAATGGGCTAAATTTGTGGAAGTGCTTTAAAAAAACAAAGCATGGAAGGATTATGACTAATGTCATAAATCACAGACCAGCTAAATGGCAAGGCCTGTCGAGGTCTTCGGTCCAGCCTTCCACCCAGAGGGGATGTCCTCTCCTATCTTCCCTGCCACGCGGTCGAGCAGCGTGGAGAGTGCACTGCTATGAGGGTCAGCCCTCTCCACCACTGGAAACTTTAATGGTCTTAAGAGTTGATATTCTAGTTAAGCTTTTTTTGGTTATAAGAGCTAGAGATTCACTAATTTACCTTGAGAAAAAAGGGGAGTTTGTTTATGAAAGTACACCTGGCCAGGTGGGAAGTGAAAAGCTACAGGAACCAAGCTAGCTTGCAGGACTGACTTCTCTCTGGTGTCGCTCATGGGCTCAGTCTCTCTGTTTCTTCCTCTCCTGACATCTCCGTTTCTTTTCGCTCCAGTCTGCATTTGTCTCCTTTCTGCTCTGTATTTTTTGTCTTGCTGATAGCATCTGTTTTTCAGTTTTTCCTTCCTCATAACTTTGGTTGGCTTGAACCGCTCATGGCTTGTTCTCTCCATCTTGTGGCCTCTTTTTGTCTTCAGCTCCCACCGTTCACTGCCATATTTTCTTGGATTTCTTAGACCAGATTCCCAAGAGAGACAAGTTGATTGTACCAGCTCATCTTTACCTGCCAAAACCCGTTGTAGGCCACTGCCCAACCTAGGCCTGGAGCTCTCCTGATCAGATGGCCCTTTCTGATCCAGTCAGAATGGGGGATGCTACCATTATCTGCATGAGGCCGACCCCCCAGCAGGTGCTGTGCATAGGGCAGTTTGCTTTAGAAGGGAGCCAGTCTGGCCTAGGTTTCTCAAGTTTGACCCAACTCTAGCCTAAGACTAAGATCTGATACTTTGTAACTCCTCCCCACTTTCCCTGGTTATCCCCTTAAGAGCTACCCAGAGAAGCCTCAGACCCCTTGCACATGGCAGCTCTTTAGATATTTGAAGTCACCTATGGTGTCCTCTGTTTTCTGTTCATTAAGCTAAGTGTCCGTGGTACCTCCCTCTGTTCCCCTGATGCCATTTATTATCCCCCTTGGATGCACTGTTTGTTGGTGTGCCTTTTAATGTGTGGTGCCCTGGCTTGAACACGACATACTAGCTATGGTCTGCCCAGAGCCTTGTCCAGCTGGACTGCTGCCTCTGTGCTCTGGACACTAGACTTATACTTGGATGCCCTGAGTGCATTAACATTTCCAAGTGCCTGACAAATTTGGTTTGGATTGAGTTCGCTTTTAAAACATATCTGTCCTTTTATAAATGTATTGGCTTTTTTAACCTAAATTTGCATTTTTGTATTTACACCTGTTCGTTTCATCTTGCTCATCGTGAGTCATTGTTCCAGCCCAGGTTTAGAGACTTTAGGGTTAATAGAGACTTTAGAGTGCCATTCTTATCACCTGGTGGGAGAGGAGTGGATCCATGTCTCAAGACTTTAAGGGGGCCTGACTACATGGTCCTCAGCCCACTTTCCCTGTTTCCTCTTAGGCACCATGCCATTAGGTAAGAGCTAAAGATGACAAGGGAGCCCACCATGGCATGATTGGGCTCCCTTTAGTGGCGATGCCTGTTGAGCTAAGGTGCTCATTACTGGAGACCAGCAGAAGAAGAGATGGAGGGTAGGAGAGTCTTAGACTGTTGGAGGAGGATTGTTGAGGACTTACTCTGTGCCAGGCCTTCCACTAAGTGCTTTAGATGCATTGTCACTTGTAATCCTGAAGACAGCCCTTTCTAGTAGGTACTTTTATTATTAACTCCATTTTACAGATGAGGATATTGCAGCTTAGAAAATTTAAGTAATCTGTCTGAGGTTATCTAGTTATGCAACCCATTCTTCTCTTCCCATTCTCTCTCCAATCAGGCTTTTGTATCCCAGTCCTCCATGAAAACTGCTTTTGTCAAGGTCGCCAGAGACCTTCACAGCACTAAATCCAGTGGTCGGTTCTCATTCCTCATCTCACTGGAATTCTCAGCAGCTTCTGACAGAATGGATGACACCCTCTTCTGTGAAACCCTGTCTTTACTTCCAGGATACCTCACTATGGATTTTCTCCTAGCTCAATGTCTGCTCCTCCTCGGCCTACTTTGCTGCTTCCAGGGCTCAGTGCTTGGACCTCTTCTCTATGTGTATCCCCTAATCTCATTTAGTTTCATGGCTTTAAAGTCATCTCCATGCTGACAATTCCCCTGCTACCTACTTGACATTTCTGCTTGGATATCTGAGAGACATCACAAACAAAAACCAGTTTCAATAGTAGTAGTCACTCCATCCTTCTAGTTACTGAAGCCAAAGTCCTCAGTCTTGTCTTTGTCTCTTCTCTTATACCTCCCCTCCAACCCTCAGAAAATCCTATTGGCTCTGCCTTCAAAATGCATATGGAATGTCATCACTTTGTCACCACCGCCACAGCTGCCACCCTGTCCAAGTCATCTCTCACCTAAATCACTGTACGAGTTTCCTGACTGGTCTCCCAACACAGTCTTTTCTTAATCGAGCAGCCAGAGTGATCCTGTTAGAAAGTAAGTCTGATCTTCTCAATCCTCTGCTAAGAATCCTCCAATGGCTCCCCATTTCTCTGAGAGTCAAGGCCGATATACAGCATCCGATCTGGCATATATGATGTGGCCCTCCAGTCCTCCTGACCTCCTCTCCTGCTGCCCATCCCCTGGACTACTTCACTCTCACTGCACAAGCCTCCAACACTCCTGCTTCAGGCCTTTGCACTGCTGTTCCTGCTGCCTGGAACGCTCTTCCCATATACTCTCATGGCTCACTCCCACCTCCTTCAAGTTTTTGCTCAAATCTCACCTTCCCAGTGAGGGCCACCCTGACCACACATTTTAGAAGGTTGACCTTCCCTTTCTCCCCTCACCCTCATCCCCTGGCCATGACCACTGCTTCTATCTGGCTGTGGGTTTTTTTCTATAGCGTTTATCACCTTTTCATATCCTATGTAATTTATTATGTTTAACGTTATCTCTGCCTATTAGATCGTGAGCTCTCTGAGGATGAGGATTTCTGTTTGTGGATGTATTTTTAGCACCAAGAGCAGACTGTGGCACATAGTGATGTGCTCAGTATTTTTTGAATTAATGAATATGTGGCACTTATTTGTTGAGGACCTATTCCATGCCAGGTTCTTGGCAGGGCACTGGGAATCTAAAGATGAAGGAGAGTGTCCCTGCCTTCTGTCCCAGGCTGTGTTTGTTTTGAACAAGGACACCCTTTGCCTGCTCAGCTGTGCCCAACTCCCTCAACCGGAGGCCTTGGCCCCTTTCTGTCTGTTCTTCCATGCGGTTAGACCCATGTGCCGGTGTTCCCAGGGCCCTCTCTTGAATCATACCTGGTGTTATGCTGCTCCGTGATGTTGCCACCCTGTTCCTTCTGCCCTGCACTGAGGGGCACTGGATTTGCATCCACTGGCTGGGGTGCGGAGGCCCTCTTCTTGTTCAGCAACATCCCTGAGCTTGGAAGTAGGATTTCCATTTTCTCACCCTTTCTGACCAGAGTTTGAATTCTTTCTCTACCACTTACCAGCTGTAATGACCTTGGACAAATCAGGTAGCTTCTCTGAGCCTCAGTTTCCTCAACTGTAAAATAGGGCTAATAGTATTTAGCTCATAGGAATATTATGAAAATTAAATGAAACATGTTTAGCACAGTCCCTAGAATGAATTATCCTTCAATAAATGTCACCTTCTGTTGTTACTATTGTTACTGAATTTTTATGGATTAAGCAAGTCATTTATGAAGCACATTTATAAGCGCACTCAATGAATAGTAGTTACCATTACTGCTACCACCATCACAGCCACCATAACCAGTCCTTTTAGTATTCTAGGTGCTCCTCTGCTAGGATAACCCGCTAAATCCATGGTAGCTACTCTTTGCTCTAACCTTACAACAATTTACCTAACCTCTCTGTTTTTTTTTCCATTCAGACCTGAAAGAGGACTATGACCAATGGAACAACCTCGTTGAAGGCATTGGACCATCACTCACCTCAGGGGCCCCACATCATCTGTCCAGCCTGTAGGCACAACTGGCCATTTGTAAAAGGTCGCTGAGCTGAGTTCCCATTTGGGGCCTGCCCAGGGACACCCATAGCCTCCTCAGGAAGGTAGTTGGTATGACCCTTCTTCATAGACTGAGAGGATGTAATCATACTGCTGATTGGATAACTGGGTACTTTGATCTTGGATTTGTTGATCTTAAACTCATGGTGGGACTTGGATGGCTTACTGACTTTCTGGGGCCTGAGCCCTGATGATGTAGGGAACAAGCAGTGGGGTGGGGCTGGGGGCCCCCAAGCCCCAAGCGGAGCGCTATTAACCCAGCGAGCCTACTCCCTCACCTTGGGCCAGTGTGGCTTCTGCAGTGGAAGAAATGAAGCCAAAGAACGGAGGGAAGATTCCCACCTTCAGGACCTCTAGCCCAGCCTGGCACTGTCTCTTCCTACCTCTCAGCCTTCTCCCTTCCCAGGGCCTTAGTGAGTTACGAGCACTTTAGGTAACGTTCGAGGATATGGACCATCAGATTTTCTGTTTATTTTCAAGCCTTCCCGTTGAATGAATCGTAGTACTGGGCACTGACTCAGGGCTCAGTTACACTTGTGCGCCCACGGAGCGGGGCAGACAGCATTGTCCTCGTAGCATAGAGAGAGAAGCTGAGGTACAGAGGGGTACCTCAGAAGCTCTAGATGTCTTGGAATTTTGCTAAAAACATATATTGACAGGAAACAACACAAGTAGGTTGAGATGAAGAAGGTGGAATGACAGTGTTAAGTAGCCATTTGAACAGGCCCTTGCCACTAGAGGGAGGTAGTATGGTCAGTTAGAGTTCAGGAGGCCACCCCTAGAGAGGTCTTGCCTCTTATCTCAGATATCATGAGCCTCCAACTCACTCAGAATCAGGGCGCTATAGTTGTCTGTTTTCTGGCTCTGAGGCCCTAGCCTCAAATTTAAGTGAAGATATAGACTGAATTTCCATTCTGTTCCATTTATACTATGAATGATATTAATACTCATGTTTGCCTAATGATATGTTGGAATAATCTCCCTATTTAATCTGCATTAGAGCAGGATGGGGAGCCATCTGGCAATAACTTTTCCTTCTGTCTTTCTTTGTTCACTTACCACTTGTGCCCATGTGGAAGAAAAACTTTAAAAGGAAGGAAAGTCTTCCTTGGGATCTAGTTCAAAGCTGTCTGGAAACATCAACATGAAACACCCCTCCCTGCTGCTCTAGACCTCTCACCTCAGCCCAAGTAGGGGAACCCAGAGGAGGCGAGAGCAAAAGGGCAATGCAACTCTACATAGTCAGTCCGAAGTCATTGCCACCAAAGCAAGCTGGGACTAGGGCTCCCACCTCTCAGCTCTTTCTGAGGTGAAACGTCAGATCCATTGAGGCTATGCACCTTGGGAGGATCTGTGAATTTCTGTGAGACGTGGCGTCCGGGGATATTGTGAAAGCCCTGGGCCGTAGCTGGGTTTTGAGTCCTGTCTCCACCACTACTAACTGGGTAAATTTGAGCAAATTGTGTTCTCTTTCCAGTCTCCATTCCTGCGTTTCTAAAATGAGGATTAAGTAAGAGGATGTGTAACCCATGGGTTTCATACTTTCCAAACATAGGAGATTTTTCTAGTTATCCTGTAGCTGTTGTTTTCTAGCTTAATGGCTTTGGGGCAGGTAAAATGACCCATATGATTTTCATCCTGAAACTTGCTTGTTGGCCAGTGTGAGGTCAATTTTGTAAATGTTCCATGTATGCTTAAAAAGACTGTATATTCTCAAGTTGTTGGCTTGCTGTTTTACTCAACATCACGTTATGGATTTCTTTTTAGAGAGTGCATACAGATCTATAATAGGGGCTTCCCACCCCCAAATGGGGACTGGCGCCCCTCAGCACTCACAGAACCAGTAGGTGCCACCTGTTCTGCCTGGGCCTGGTTCTACAGATGCTGAGGAGCCAGTTCTGGCAGCATTAGCACGTGAGACCCAACTTACCTTAGACCCATAAGTAATGAGGGTATATTTTGTAAAGACTTGGAGCCTCCCTAGAAAAAGAAATTGTTCAGAAACTGGATCCATCTCCTCCATTCCGTTCATGTTCTGGTAATGACTCGTTTATCCAGCAACATTGGAATAGGTAAATTTTCCATATAATTGAAAATTATCCTTTAAGTCACAAAATATAATATTGACTATTTTGAATGGTAATTTACCAAAAAGATAACACAAACACTTTTTCATGTGAACTGACCTCATTTAACTTTTTTAGGATGTTTCAGTCAGGGTAAACTAATTATATGGCAGTAACAGGCAACCTCAAAAAGCAACAAAAGTTTATTTCTTGCCCATGCTACTTGTTCCCTGTGGGTCGGCTGGAGGCTGTGCTCTGCATCATTTTTATCCTCACTTGGGGACCCAGGCTGGTGAGCTGCCACTATCGGAAGTGCTGCCAGTCACGTGGTGGAGCTCGAAGAGAATATGGTGAAACACCCGCCAGCTCTTGAATCTTCTGCCCAGAAGTGACACTCGTTATTTCCGTTCACATTTCATTGGCCAAAGCAGGTCATCTGGCCATACCTAACATCCCATGCCATCCCAAGAGAGCAAAAACATCTGTGACCAGGTCTAATGTTGGAGTAGTTGCGCCACCTGTCTAGGAAGATGTGGGTAGCTGTTTGCACCTACACTGTGTGGCCCCTGGCAGCTGTCCTCCCAGTTCTTTTGATTGCTTGCATAGCTTGTGCCGTCTCCCTTGTGGTCAGGAGGCTAGCCTTTACTCTTCATTGCCTTTAATGTGCCAGCCCCTAGCAGCTCTCCCTTTTCGCTAACTTGGTCATCCACATTATTTACAACCGTCTAGAGTAAAAAGTAGTCACTGAGAGAGGGCTCTAGGGACTCTCCTGCAACTGAAGTGCACTGCCCTTAGTGCTTGGGCTCTGTAATCCTTCCTGTGACTGCTCAGGAGGGGTATCATAAGAGCTTTGGTCCTTTGTCCTGGTTTTTGGTTAGCTTCTAAGGAATCAAAGAACACTAGATAAATGGCCTTTAGATAAGCAAGGTAGGCCTGCATATTAATTGGCATGTACCGATAAATTGCATTCTAGTGAATGCTTTCCAAAAGCAAAGATGTCTTGGGTTTCTTTTGCATCTTGTTCCCCGTCCCATTATAGGACTGTACTCATGGAGGCCTCCTAGTAGAATGTTGTGAACTTTCTGGTCATGGGATGGTGTATCAGTTAGGAGGAAAAGTAAGTAAATACCAGATGGAATGAGATTCCTTGTCTGTCTCACTTCCTGGACGTGTCAGGGTGAGGCTCGCTGGGTTCTTGCTATGCCCCCAACACAGTCCCCAAGCCCCTTTCCAGTGTATGTCCTGACACAGCTGTCCCACTTGCCCTTCTTCAGGAAGACTACTGGGGTCTTGAAATGTCAATTGATGGACTCCAGCGCCATGTCTTAGCCTTTGGGGGCCTTCATCTGCCCCCTTTTCTTCTGGGGCCCTCCTTATCCCTGGGCCTGCAGAGTGACAGAGGGACAGGAGAGGCCATACTCTATACTCAGGACCCATCCTCATTAGGAAACTCACTTCCTGTCCCATCACAGCCAGAAGCAGAGGCCGAGTGTCCCTGGCCATGGCTGCATGGCAAGATGACGATGATGATGATGATGATAACCATTGTAGTAGCCAGCATTTCTTGGGCGCTTCCTGTGTGTCAGGGGCTGTGCTCGATGCTTTATATGCGTCATCTCATCTGCTTCCCACCCCATGACGTCAGGTGGAATTAGCCTCATTTTATGTACAAGGAAACAGAGCCTTAGAGAAGTGATTTGATCAAACTCCCACAGCAAGAATTTGGCAAAGCTGGCACGTAGGCATAAAAATCCATGCTCTTAATCACTGGGCCATACTGCTTAATATACGTACTTGATTTTCCCCTTCCACTGCCTCTTTCAACTGTCAGGGTATGAGGAATGAAATTTCATGATACATTGAATCAAGAATGTGAAACTCTCCAGCAATTTCTATATGACTTGCACTGAGATTCAGTGACATCCTCAGCACTGGTGAGAAGTCGGTTGGGGAGAGGACTCTGCTTCACCGAGGACTGTGGGCCAGGCGCTCTGTTGATTTGATAGATGAGGAAAGCAGTTCAGGGATTAAGAACATGGTCTTTGAAATCAGACAGCTCCAACACTATTAGCCCTGTGACTTTGTGCTAATTTATCTACTTCTGTAAGCTTCAATTTTCTCGTTCGTAAAGTGGGAATTCCAATAGTGTTTACCTCTTAGGGCTGTTGTAATAATTAAATGAAATAATGCCTGTAGAGCGCTCGTCACAGTGTCTATACTGAGGGCATAATAAACATTACCTATGACAGTATTGGTTTCTTCGGTCCTCCTTACAGACCTATAAGGTTAGGTATAATTTGCCCTTGTACTGAATGGCCGCGGATGGTCTTGGTCTAAGTTCTTACGCCAGCTTCTGCGGTTTCAGTTACCTCCCTCACATAAAGCCTGCTAACTGCCCCTCAACTACTGCCATTGTGTGAGGCTGGAACTAGAATAAGAGAGAGTTTTTCCCTTCTCTTTGCTCTGATTTCCCTGCTCCTCACATCAAAAGTCAAAATCCATACCATAGTTCTAGCTTTGCAGGCTCTCTTCACCACCAGCGAAAATCTACACTTTTAGGTTCTGGTTTGGGTTTTAATTTCATGCCTGATCATCCAAACGCACACATCTGTGCCAGATGTAAAGCGAAGGTCCTAATATGTTGAATGGGAGAATTGGAGAGAAGATCTGTTTGGACGGGTTGGCCGAAGGGAAGAGGACCTGGGGATAGGGACTTTGTAGTAGAGGCCAGTTGCGTTAATTTTTGTCTGCTGCCTTTGAGGTGGGAGTGGGGGTTGAAGTGCCCCGTGACCTCGGGAGAAACTCCCCAGGGCTGAGAATGGCTGCGAATTACCTCTGCACAGCTCTCTCCCTCACTGCCATATCCGGTTTCCTACCAGGTCCTCTTGTTTCTTCTCTCTTGGTGGTTCTCAGGCCCAGCCAGCCCTTTACATTTCGTTTGAATCTAGTCCCTCCGTCAATTCACCCCTGGAATAATTTTTAGTCTCCTGGACTCTAATCTCTCTTTCCCCTGCATTCTGCCTAAAATACCACTTTTGTATCAGATCTGCCTAAAATACCACTTTTGTATCAAAATACCTACCTGGCAACGTGATCTAATGGAAAGAGGACCAAACTGATTGTCTGGAGCCCTGGGTTCTTGTCTCAAGTCTCACAGTCTCTCTCGCTCTGTGTCCTTGTGTGTATGCTCTTCCTCTCGTGACTTCAGTTTCTCTGTCTATAAATTGGGATGTGGGTGGTGGTGGTTGAATTGGCTGATCCCT